GCTTTATTTCTTCCTTCCCAATCTTTTTATTACATACTTTTATTTCCTTTTCTTGTCATATTGCATTAGCTAAGACCTTTGATATGAGGTAGAATAGGTGGTGAAAACGGACATTCTTGCCTTGCCAGAGGGGTAAAGCATCTAGAGTTTCACCATTAAGCATGAAGTAAACTGTAGTGTTTTGTAGTATTCTTTCTTTTTTTTTTTTTAATTATTTATTTATTTATTCATGAGAGACAGAGGGAGAGAGAGAAGAGAGGGAGAGAGAGAGAGAAAGAAGCAGAGGGAGAAGCAGGCTCCCAAGGAGCAGGGAGCCCGATGCGGGACTCGATCCCAGGACCCTGGGATCATGACCTGAGCCGAAAGCAGACGCTCAACCATCTGAGCCACCCAGGCGCCCTTGTAGTATTCTCTCTAAGTTAAAGGAGTTCCCCCTCTATTTCTTATGTGCTGAGAGTTTTTATTGAGAATGAGTATTGAATTTTCTCAAATACTTTTTCTGCATCTATTGATATGGTCATGTGAACTTTCTTCTTTTGCCTGTTGATGTTATGGGTTACATTAATTGATTCCTTTTTTTTTAAGATTTTATTTATTCATTTGCAAGAGACACAGAGAGAGAACAAGCAGGGGGAGAGGCAAAGGGAGAGGAAGAAGCAGACTCCCTGCTGAGCAAGGAGCCCGATGCGGGACTCGATCCCAGGACCCTGGGATCATGACCTGAGCCGAAGGCAGACGCTTAACCATCTGAGCCACCCAGGAGCCCAATTGATTTCTGAATGTTAAATAAGTCTTGTATATCTAGGATAAGTCCCACTTGGTCATGTACATAATTCTTTTTATACATTGTTGAATTCTATTTGCAATATTTTATTAAGGAATTTGGATCTATGTTCATGAGGATATTGGTTTGTAATCTTATACCTTTATCTGGTTGTGGTATTAGGGAAATGCTGACCTTATGGATTGGGAATTCTCTGTACTATCTGCTTAATTTGTCAGTGAATGTTTTTAAATAAAAACTATCAATTAAAAAAATTTACCTTGATTTAATCAGGAAACAGCTCCCTCTCTATGAAACATATCAGTGCATAAACGAATTCAAGTTTAGAGAAACTGTGCTTTAGCTGCAGTGGTTGGCAACCAGCATGCACTGATGTCCCGGGTTATTGTAGACACTGTACTAGTAACCTGGCATTTGTAATGCTTTTACACACCTCCTAAAACTTTCAGTTAGGTCAGAAAAATCACAAATGTCTGAAATGGGTTCACATTACCCAATCAAACTCCTTTGATACAATGAATATGTACTAATTGCTTTTGACAAGATTTTTTAAATGTCTGGTACATGGTGATCACAGCATTTTTAGCATGAATATCTTTATCATGTCAGGTTTTAGATCATAACAGGACACTGTTCTTTACCAAAGTGATAAATTGTTTCTAGCTACACTGGATTCAACAATAAAGAATGAATTTGCTCCATTTTCTATTCAGAAAACAAGTTTTTAACAGAGCTCTTTTGTTATGCCCATGACTTTATAGACAAAGAACTGAAATAAGATGATTTCTCATTTCTCCAGTGCACAAGATATTTTCATCAGTGTTACTTTACCACTATTGTAATGTGAACAGGTATAGTGTATCATCATACCTCTTGTTACAGATTAAAAAAAAAAAAACATAGGTATGCATTTTGCCACAGGAGTTAAAATAACTCATCCTAAGCTCTTTTTCTTTCTTTATTAAAATGAAACAAAATCTAGTATAAAATCTAGGAAAGAAAACATTTTAGGAACTCTTACCAGTATACCTGAGTCTCTACAGTGACCGCTGCTGTGGGATGAGGAAAGACAGCAGATTCCCCCAAAACTGCTGGACCTCATGTATCACAAAATACAGAAAAGGACTTGAGTTATTTGAGGGGGGGAAAAAAAAGGAAGCACTAGGGTGGAAGCAAGTTTATGAATAGAAATCAGTAATAAATCTAGAAGTGTTGGTAGAAAATTAAAGACAATACCAAAGACTAAGAGAAATAAATTGAAGGAAATGTGTTTTCAGTGACAATTAAACTTGAAAGCTATATTAAGGAAGAAGATGGACTCTGTGCCACAGACTGCTTCTCCTTACATTTATTTTCAGTGTCAAGGACTGGGTTAAGAGGCAGGAATAGAATATGCACTGGATAGGATTAAGAGTATTTTGTGGATTGCAAAGAATAACTGAGATATTAAATAGGAGAGAGGAGGATGATGAACCAACAGAATCATTCTCATCCATGTAGGTGTCTAGTGGAGACTACGCCGATGGGCATCTTCTTTAAACACCAACCATGTCAGCTATGATTTTGTCAAGAATTACAAAGTCATAATTACAAGGTTAAATTTCCAAGCAAAAGCCTGCAGAGAAATATTCTGTGTAGCTAACAAGAAAGACCAACTTCTTTTGGGTAGAAAACATGTCAGTAGTAAAACTGTTGTGCTTTTTTTAAACACTCAGATGGAGGGGAGAAATTTTTAATGGGGATTTTTCTTAGAACTTTATGGAGTTCAAGAAAGATACCTTAAAATGGACATGGAGATTAGCAGGCACTATACTAAGTACTTCATACACTTAAGACGGTTTCTAATCTAACCACAGGATTAAGGTGGTTAACAGTACACCCGCTTATCATCCAAATTATTCCTGCTACAAGTAACGGAAAACCAGACCCAAACTGACTGAAGCATACAGGAAACCTATTCACTCGGGTAAGTAAAATCACTGAGGAGGGCTGGCTTTGCAGCATCAGCTACGTTGCCAGGGCTTGGACCCCGTCTCCATCTGTGTGGTTTTCCTGTGTGATCCACTTGGTTCACGGGATGGCGCCCCAGCACCCGCTCTCACGTTCAGGTGACACAAAGCTGTCCCAGCTGCAGTTTCATGTCTTCTCTTGTTTCTACGTCAGTAGGAAGAATTAAAAGAATTTTCCAGTTGCTCCCACAAAAATACTGAGTCCACGTGACTGGCCCAGCTAGGTCATATGCCCATGCCAGCTACGTCACTGTGGCCAGGACACTAATTCTCTGACTAGCTCAGGCTGGTCATATGTTCCATCCTGGGACTGACGAATCCCCAGGGCTGCTGCTGAAGTGCTGGTAGATGCTGACCAGAGAAGTAGCAAATGTCCCCCTTATGTAGAAGGGACCCATAGTTTCAGAAAATGAAGTAACTTGCCAAATTCAGACCCCTAAAAAGTCAGTCTAGATCTGAACTCAGGTCCACCTACCTAAACCCAAAGCTTTCCCACCCTGTCCTCCGCATAGTCCTAACACTCAGTCACGGAATGAAAAACTCTCTGGATCACAGAGAGACCCCTACTTGTGTTCTAGACCCATCACCACTGAAACATAAATCAAGATTACATTATTTGTTAGAAAAGTTTAAATAATTTAAAATTAACTTAATTATGAATTTAATTCGGCTTATTTAAAAAATTAGCTTGTTCTTAGTGTTTTTTTAAAAACTTCCAAACAGGAGTGGTCGCTTAGAAAATTTAATTCTACTAAGAAAATAATTATTTGAAGTGGAGCTTCAAATTATCTCGTTTCACAGGAGAATACTATTTATTCCAAAGTCATGTCAAACATTTTAACCTTCAGGTCTTTTAATGATAAATGACCAGTTTCTAATCAACTTAGTTGGTAACTTCTTTAGACCTGATTTCAGAGAAGTAAAAAAAAAGGAGAGGACTATTTGTATTTTGTATGTTTTCTTTATACTTTCAGCCGAACTTCATTTCAATAAAAGTCCAAAGTTTAAATAACACAATTGAGTCACCATCATAAAAAAAAAAAAAAAAAAAAAAGGAACTTTACTGATTTCTGCTTCGGGCCATGACGGAATTTTAGGAACCAGATTTAAGCTCTTATCTCAAACAACTAAAAGATCAGACAAAATCTTTGAAACAATGGTTCTGGGGCACGTGACTCTCATCCTTAAGCAAAGGGAAACCGAGTGAGCCAGGAGTTTCCAGGCCGCAACCGGAACAGGGCCAACAGTGGATCTGCAGGCACAGAATTAAGACCTGCAGGAGGCCCCACAGGGCATCAGGGGCGAGGCCTGGGAGGAAGGGCCCGGGGTCTCCAGCAGGGTTGGTCCGCTGGCCGCAGCGTGTGGGGCACAGAGCACCTGTCGGAGCCCACGCGAGGTCCCCTGGAAAGGGCCCAACAGTTTGCTCAGGTCGTGGGGACCCCGTGGCGCTTGAGTCAACCCACTGCTCCCACGTGGCTCACTCTGAGCTTCACACACAAAAGCTCAAAGTCACTCCAAGGAACATGAAAAAGCCAGCACCCAATAATGTAAAATTTGCGTCTGGCGTCTAATCCAAAATGGCCCGGCACCCAAAGAAGTAGGAGCACACAGAGAATGCGGGGAAGCAACCAGAAATGACAGCGGGTGCAGGCAGGGCACCTGCGGGGGAGGAGACGCCCCGCAAGGCGGGCGCTGGAGGGCACGGCTACGCAGGTCTCCCCCGAAAGCAGAGGGAGACGAGCTAGGAATGAACTGAGCATCGGTGAGCTGACGGGTGCACACGTATCCAGAACGGACACAGAGGTAGCTGGGCGCACGGGAGAGACATCTGAGCAAACGTGGCCGAGGGCCTGCCAAACGTGCTGACACCCCAAGCGCCCGCGGCTCAGCGGAGTCCATCGCGGGCGCGGCCGCACGCACCGCGAGCCTGCGCGGGGCGCACGTGCGCGGGGCGGGGCCGGGCCGGCGAGCGTGCGCGCTGTGGCAGCGCCGAGCCGGCCGCGGCCAGGTCCGTCGAGTGCGCAGGGCAGAGCCGCCGAGCATGCGCGGTATGGCCGTGCGCGGGGCCGCGCCGCAGAGCACGCGCGCCGTGGCCCCGAACTTGGCGCCTTGCGCGGGGCGGAGCGGGGCCGTTGAGCATGCGTGCCCGGTTGCTGGGCAACGGCGAGCGGCGCGGAGGCCGGCGGCGGGGGTCGGTGCCTGGCACAGGGGCCGCCGGAGCGAGCGGGGCGGGCCGGGCCGCGGGGACCCTGCCGGGCAGCCCAGGTCCTCGGTCCCCAGCACCGCGGGCCTCGTCGTGACCGCTCTCGGCAGGGCCCCCGAGGCGGGGACGGTGTCTGGACGCGGTGACGGCGCCCGTCCCTGGACGGGAGCCGCGCCCGAAGGTAGGGGGCTCCCGGGGAGCGTCGGAACCGGGAGCGCCGCCCGCTCGGGGCGGGCTCGTCCAGACAGGGGACCGCGGCTCCGCGCCGTAGCCGGCCGCGGGTGCCGCCGCCCGGTGCGTGCCCCTCGTTAGCACACGGCCACTGCGACGGGCGGCAACTAAGGGCTTGGGCGCCGGCGTCGGCGCTGTTACCAGCTAGTGATGCCGTTGCCCGAGAAAGAGCGTTCCCGCCAACGCTGGCTCTCCAGACGCCACGGGGTTAAGGTTCCGACGCCGCCGCTGCTGCGGTTCCGTAATCTTGAAGGAATCACTAGTCTCTGGACTTGGACTAAGTATCTGAGGGGTCCCAAACCTGAACTGTAATGACACCACGGGACGTAGAAGGGGCAAAGGTTTCAGAAGCTCACAGTGGAGACCCTCAAGTGTAGATAGCTGCGACTAGTACAGAGGGTTTAGTGTGATGTAAACTCTGTTCTGCCAGGGGACAGGCGTTTTGAAAGTAGAAGATTCTGGAAGGGATCTACAGCATTTTAAATACCTTGTACCATTTCTGCAGTCTACAGTGTCCCGATGAAACACTGGACAGAAGCTTCTGTCGTGCGCCTTGAGGCCAGCAGTGGAAGCAAGCACTGCTGTCTAGTTTCTTAGAGCGGCTCCGCAGTCCCTGAGCCCTGGAGACCCCACAGCTCTAGGTTTCCACATCCCCACTTCTACCCTCTGCGCTAATTGAATGCAGGTGTTGATCCTTAGATACGCATTTTGGATTAATTCCTTTCTAGTCTTAAAATTAGGCCCCATTTCCTAGATTAATAACTTACTGTTTCTCCCCATTCTGTGTATTTTGGACCCTGTCTTCAGAAACTGTACCCTTGCCTAAAAACTGAAAGGACCAATTCAAATTCTTCCACCAGTTTCAGATGGAATTGAAGCAAAATAACCATTTACAGAGTATCTTCTGCATGAAAGGGCCCATTCGGATACTTTAGAAAGGTGATCTCATAAACATAACCCTGCAAGGAGCGTGACTACACCTGTTTCAAGGTGAGGCAGCTGGAAGTCAGATAGTCAGCATGTCGCCAGCACACAGCTAGAGCAAGACTGGAAGGCAGGCTTGCCCCTGACATTCTGTCCCTCTATGTTCTGGACATACTGCCGGCAGCCAGTACTCCCCATGCATCCCAGTATAGTCATCGCTCCCTTTCCCTCCTAAATAGTAACCGTATGCCGAGTTCCGGAGTGCCTTTGTCCTCTGGTCCCTGTAGTGTGGTTTGTTCACTTTCCTCTTCTCTGTCCTGCAAATCCCAGTTTAAATGTTCTCTCTTTAAGAGGTATTTCACTTACTGGTCTGCCCCGGTGGCTCAGTTGGTTCAGCGTCTGCCTTCGACTCAGGTCATGATCACAGGGTCCTGGGATGGAGTCCTGCATTGGGCTCCTTGCTCAGCAAGTTGTCTGCTTCCCCCTCTCCCTCTGTGCACGCTCTCTCTCAAATAAATAAAATCTTAAAAAAAAAAAAAAATTTCACTTACTATTCTCTGATCTTTTCAGTCTCAAATTTTGTTGTACTTATGTATAATATTATATTGAGCGATGGACTGTTCTCATTCAAATTCATATGCTCCCTCCAGCTAGCTGGAGATTCGAGGGCAGGGCCCCATCAGTCCTGACTGGCTTGAATCCCGCCAGAATCACAGTGCGTAGCTTAGTGCTGTGCTCTGGTAGGCATTCCCATATCAATCAGACTCTCAAACATAACTTCCCTCTAGACTTTATAAGAGATGTTTACATACACTCTAACTTTGACTTTCTGTTGATTATGTTTTTACAGTGGAAGAATTAAAGGAATGTGATATGATGATATAACTTGATATACCCAAGTAGCAAGTTTGCCTGACTCAGCATGTCAAAAAACAAGGTACAGAATCTTGTTTTAAAACAAACACAGTTTTAAATGAGATCTTGCCATCTGCAATGACGTGGATGGAACTGGAGGGGATTATGCTAAGCAGAATAAGTCAATCAGAGAAAGTCAGTTATCATATGATTTCACTCATATGTGGAATTTAAGAAACAAAACAGGATCAGAGGGGAAGGGAGGGAAAAATAAAACAAGACGAAATCAGAGAGGGAGACAAACCGTAAGAGACTCTTAATCATAATAAATAAACAGGGTTGCTGGTGGGGAGGCGGGGTGGGGTAACTGGGTGATGGACATTAAGGAGGGCACATGATGTAATGCGCACTGAGTATTCTATAAGACCGATGGATCACTGACCTCCACCTCTGAAACTAATGACACATTATGTGCTAATTAATTGAATTTAAATTTAAGATTTTTTTAAAAATAAAACACTGTTTTACTCATGACTATAATTTAATCCAGCTGTTTGAAAGTATAAAAATATAGTTGCAAGTCTCGATCCAATGAGGAACTATCTGCCATAGTACCAACTGCAAGCATGTCATAGGTGCCCAGCAGTTTTGTTCCGTGTTAAGTTTTCTCCAAAAAAGCACATACTTAAATGCAAGATTCCCTTTCATATTACAGAAGCAAGATTTTGCCTAGAGTCTAATTAATTGTAGTGAAACAGAATGTGTTCAGGCATGCACAGCTTTTATAGGTCCTAATGAATTAATTCATATTATATTTAAGACCTTAGTAATTAAATGAAAAGATAGTCCTATCACCAACATAAATGACGAGACTGGGCTTTCCCGCACTTATGTAACGTGAGTCAAGCATTCTTCACTATTAGATTTGGTCTAGTGTGCCACCCGGATTGAGTATTAAAGCCTAAGTTTTCTTCCAAATGATATATAACATAATGTTCCATAGATAAGGTTTTTTTCCTACTTTTTAGGGTCATTCATCTAAACAAGATAACTTAGCAGTCACTGCAGTTGCTTTACAAGATCACATTTTACAAGATCTTCAACTTCGAAATCTTTCAATAGCAGAACATTCTAAGACAAAGGTACAAAAGAGAGAGAACAGATCCAAATCTCTAAAAAGAAATACAAAAGCAGTAATAGATACTGGACTTAAAAAAACTATACAAGGCCCTAGAGTGGAAGATCCAGAAAAAGAATATGTTCTTGATCCAAGACCACCACCATTAACTTTAGGTAAGTTAATCTTGTCATTCATACTTTGGCTCATTAGAGCTAAGGAATCTAGTTGAGATTCATAGTATAATTTTTTCTGGAACAGAAATGATTCTAATTTATAATCTTACAGAAAGAACGTATGTACTAAAGTTTAAAAATGATGATGAGGGCAATACGAGCAAGAACACAAAGATAGTACTACATAGAATAAATAAAAATAGTAGAATACCGTCACTATCCACTAATCCACATGGTGGAAGTCAACCAGTCAGTCAGTAACGGAAAAGAAAGAGCGCTTTCTTACAGTAGAATGACAGCTAATAAACAGACAGGGGCCAGAAGGAGAAAAACCGCCATCCGGCCGACAGCACAGTAAGGACTCGCATCGGAGGATGCCGAGGCGGGCTGTGCGCACGGCCTCACAGCGCCCACACACCACACCGGGAAGCGGGAAGCCCAGCCGGCCCCTGCTGGTGACACTGTGCCAGCGGCCCCCTGACCACGTGACCCAAGTGCCGTCACCAAAGGGGCGCACGCCGACATGGCCCCGATCCCAGGCTCTGAGAAAGGCGCAGCATCCCCTCCAGGGTATTCTTGACAAAATGCCTATCTGAATTTAATCACGAGGAAACATCAGACCCACCCAAATTGATGGACGGTCTACACACTTCCTGGCCAGTACTCTTCAAAAGTGTCAAGAAAAGCAAATGAAGAGAGAGAAGCTGCCCCAGATAATAAGACATGAGGGGGACATGACAACTGAGTGTTATGTGTAATCCGGGTCCAAAAAAAGGACTTCAGTGACACAAGAACGAAACCCAGTAAGGAATACAGATTAATTGGCAGTGTTAGATCAACGTTAGTTTCCTCGTTTTGATCACTGAACTAGGGTTATGAAAATATTAACATTTGGGGAAACTGGGTAAAAGGCACATGAGGATTCTTTATACTGGCTTTACAACCTTTTGCAAGTCTCACATTATTTTAAACTGTAAATTTAGAAATAGAAAAGATTTTTAAACGATGCTGGGCATGGAAACTAGGTTTCTCTGGGGGCGTTGTGCCCTTGCGCAAGTGTGATGGATGGAGGAGGCGCCGGGAAGCCTGCGGACTCGGCTCCATGGTGTAGGGGGAGCCTGCTGCTACAGCAAGGCCAAGGGACAACTCATTCCTTCATTACTACAGACAGTGATACTTGTATTCTAGGAAGTGGCACAGCTCAAGAATGGGCAGAGGCTTGGAATGATGTTATACAGTCAGGTAGTGAGTATCTTGGACATATATAATTTATGGAGATGATCAACTAGATGATCATCATAGTAAGTTTAGCAGGAAAGGTTTAAATTAGACATCAGGAAGGACTTCCCAATTTGGAAAATAAGTAAGGTTAAAAAGGAGAGTAAATGAGTTATTCTTCCAGTAGCTCTTTATAAAAAAGAAATGTTTTACTATTACAGGTTTTAGTTACCAATACGTGTTGAACCATATGCTCTTCATTATTATCTATACATCATATTGTACTTGGGTCTCTTCTTGCTGATTTTCTGGAGTTTTTTATGTTCTCTACATATTAATTGATGTAGCCGCTGAGAAGATCTCTCAGTCTGGCACCGTCTTTGAATTTTATGTGTTATTTTATATTGAATAAAATGTTCATTCTGATTACTATTAAATCCATCAGTTTTTCTCTTTATTGTTTATGCTTTGGGTGATTCAAGAAATCCTTACCCATTCTGAGATCACAAAGATTTTCCCACATTTTCTTTATTTACCTTTACATTTTTGCCTTTCACATTTAGACCTCATCACAGTTTATTTTGCATATAGCACTGGCAAAATCAGTTGATATAAAAATTTACATTAGATTCTTCCCTCAAACAACTATCTACCTATCTTTTGCCTTTGCCAAGTTTTCCATGCTCATACAAGAGAGGGAGAAAGAGTCAGGATGTATGATTTGGGGTATGATCTGTTACTATGTCAGGATTTTACTGTTTTAATCCAAAATAGTTTTGTAATATGTCTTAATAACTGGCAGGAAAAGACCCAAAATTCATTCCCCAAAATCTCAGAAGTATATTCTTTCCATCCACTAAAATACAGTGGTGCTCTTCTGATTTTATCTCTGTGGAGACATTCCTTCTGAAAGCTTCCATTACTCTGCTCCCATATGCACCAGTTGTTCTGTGGGGCTGGTGCAGAGCCGTCAGCCTGGGATGTCTTCTTGGCATCACCTGTGGGCTGATTCCCTTCCTTCTCTTGCATTGGATCCTCTGATGGCACAGCTTCTCCTTCTTAGTTTGTACCCTCATTGGGGTGAAGCTGCTCCTCCAGCAGCTTCCTGGGAAAGAGTGCCTAAGAGATCAGTGGACAAGCTTACAGACACAAAGAAATCTTTATTCTCTCACAGTCCGTTGTTTGCTAATAAAGATTTTCAATATGGGAGTCCTTCTCCGAAATCTGAAAGGTTTGCCTTCTCATGTCTGTGTTGCTGGAGCTAAGTCTGATGTAATTCTGACTCCCGACCCTTTTGGAGACTTGTCTTTCTGTCTCTCTCACCAAACTTTGAGATCTGCTTTTCGTGCCTACACCTGTGACGTTTCATGGCGGGATGTGGTGTGAATCCTTCGTTCTGGGCCCTCCTGGGGCCTCTCAAACTAGAAACTCACGTCCTCTTCTGGGAAGTGTCTTAGGCTATTTTAAGATCTTTACTCTTGATTTTCTGTTCTCTTTATGGAAAAGAAAAGATGTCAGATGTCAGGCCTCCTAGACTGGTCCTTTAGTTTTCAAATCTTCCGTCTTCTACTTTATCTCATCTTCCTACTTTCTACGGGATTACTGTAACTTCCTCTTCCAGTCTTTGAGTTGACTATAAGATTTTGATTTTTAAGAGCTCTTTTTTGAACGTTCCTGATACAGCTTCCTGTTCTTGTTTTGTAGACATAACACTTCACTTTCTATCCAAAGGAAGCCCACAGGGTGACACTTCACCCATTCCCTCATTTGGAGGTGGTTTGGGGGTGGACGCTGGTGCTCATTGCCCCTGCCAGCACTGTGCCCCAGCTGCAGCAGCTCCCACTGGGACGCGAGCTCCATGTTTGATCCCGAGGGGACACACGGTGGGCTCTCAAATATTGCTGAGGTAAGGAATTGGTCCTGACAATAATTATACATCCTAAGAATTTTTAGCAAGGGAAGAACCTGATTGATACGCATTCTGTGAAGGTCACTGGCGGCAAAAAAAAAGAAAGAAAGAGCTAAACTGGAAGAAGACAACACTGAAGACTGAAAGATGAATTTGGTGAAAAGTGAGAACATTTGGCCAATACATGTGAAAACCTAGTATTCTTCAACTTTTCTTCCTAAAAATTGGATAGCAGTCCTGCCTACTATAGAGAATATTGTGAACATGAAATAGGGGAAGGCAATTCTTCATAAATAAAAGCATAAACACAAATGGAAGGTATTATTACCGTTGACGTCTATGCACCATGGAAGAGCAGTATTCCACATATGGTGGAAGTATGTGGTATGTTTTGCTTTCAGATTTGTTTACAAAATAATGTCATTAAACTATATATGAGTACGATACCCTAAATATATTGCAACTTCTATTTCGTATTGTTTTAACTGTAGCACAGAAGCTGGGCCTGTTTGAACCTCCCCCACCGCCACTATCCTCAGATGAATGGGAAAATGTAAAACAAAGATCCATCCGGCAAGGGGACTCTGTGCAGCCATGCCCAATATGCAAAGAAGAATTTGAACTTCGCCCCCAGGTGTGTAGCCTGAAGATCAGATAAGCTGGCTTGGGGACTAGACTGAGCTGGAGCCTAAGATCCCAGGCTTCATTTTTCTAGTTTCTTCCGCCTACGTGACCTCAAATACCTTTATAGTTTCTTTTCCATTAATTAAAGTGTGTGTGTGAGAAAGAGCTAAACACCCTTATTAAACAGTTTTGTTTATTTACTGAATGATATTCTCAAGTACAAAGTTCATACAAAAGGAATGCTCCCATTCCACTGGCTGGAAATAGCTGAGGAGCAACTGGAGATGCTGCTAGAAGGAGCCCAGTGCAGGAAGAATGAAAGCAAATGGAAATTTTAAGTGTTTTATGAATTGAAATCATAAAAGAAAAGAAAAACTAGGCTTGAATATCCAAAGAATTTATGTAAGAATCTTTTAAGAAAAATCTTTTAATAATCTTTATTCATGAAACTTTACCACATAAGGTTGATGATATGCAGTCAATCTGGGTCATAGGTTTTTCTGTACATAGTATGTCTTCCTAATCTACTGTAATCTTCTGACAGTTAGGGACGCTTCCACTGCTAGAATTTTGTTTTGTTTTATGCTAGTGGCCACTGTACAACAGTTTCCCATGTGTGCAGCATTGTGCTTCCTACAGAGCAGGCACTCAGACGTTTGCTGGAAAAATACAGCAAATAGAGTCAAAGCAGGCCTAAAATTCATAGCCTGGGAACCTCGGGCTTTACTCGCTACCTGGCACTTAACTCTCAAACTTAATTTGTTTTAATGAGTTTCATCATTAACAAGTTAGTTCACAGTCATAAAACGTTTGTTCTTCACTAATTTGAATTCACAAGTTATTTTAAACACACTTATTGTATTCCAGTTCTCTATCAAGACCTAATCTTACGCATATGAAAGCTGGGTATTTTGGAAAAATTTTAGCCCTTAAACCGCAAAATTATCATCCAGGATAATTTAGTATTTTAGTGTAGCAAGAGTTAATAGAACCACAAGGAGTCTTTCTGGCCCAGCAACCTCTTTTTTAATTATGCTATAAATATTTAGCCTGTTGTATGAAGAATGAAAACTTACACTGAATATCTTAAGTGGGGCAGCAGGGGAATCAGGACGCATCACGCCCACCATTTCTTCCAATCTGTTTTTTATAAATTTCTCACTAAATTCTTATTTTTGTTTGGTGAATAGATATAGACGCTTGTGTTTATTTTGCATTTTTAGTTAGTTATTGTCCTCGTGTTTAGGTTTTTCCTTTGTTAAACACAATAGTTGGCATTTCCCCATCATTTAATTATTTCAGAGGACTTCAGTAATTCTTGTGCATCGCTGATGGAGGCATTATATCCATTTAACAGATGAGGAAATAAGTCAGTTGATCCGTAGCAGGGTGACTCAGGAAGTGTTCTCAAGGTCAGCTGGAGTCTAATCCCAACTTCTAGGACATTTTTAGTGTATTTACCACCACTTAATCATTTGTTTTTATCTCAGAATGTTTGCCTTAAATAACAAACATTTATGGACATTTAAAAGTATATTTTAAATATATGGAAGGACAGTGTTATTCAGTACAGATCATCAAATATCTGTCGATAAAACACTCAAAGATTATTCTATAATGCATGAGGGGTTAAGATGGAGGAAGAGGAGGGGGGTCCCTAAGATCGCCTTGTACCTTGAACACAGCTAGATAACTATCAAACCATTCTGAACACCCAAGAAATTAATCTGAGGACTGAGAGAACAAAACCGCAAGTCTGTAAGTAGAAAAGCAACCACCTTTTGGAAGGTAGAAGTGCAGAGAGTTGATCTGGGAGAGATACAACTGTGGGTACTGCAGCGGGGAAGGAGCCACGTTTATGGGACTACCGCCAGGTATTATACACAGAGAGTGCAAAATCTCAAGTTTTCGGAGTCGGCCACCGCCGGGGTCATGCCTGGCTTAAATGTGCTCAGGTGCTAAGCAGGCTGGACCCAGGAGTGGATATAGGGTGGTCTGAGGATCAGACCAGGGCGCAAGAAGAACGGGTGGCATCAACATGCTTCACTCTTTCCAGGCATAGGAGTTGGGACTCTGGTTGCAGGCAGTGAGCCTGGGCGCCGGCTCTCTGCTCCACTTCGCCATAAGCTCTGAACTGCTCTGTGGTCCTGCAACCACTTTCCTGGCATGGTCCAGGCAAATGGCAAAAGCAAGGGAGACCCCCCGCCCCCGGAGGAACAGTGTGGGTCCAAAGCCACAGGAATCCCTAGAATTTGTGGAGTTGTAAAACCCAGTCCCGCCTGGGATAAAAAAGCTCAGACACAGTCAGGGTGAAGGCAGGGATCTGAGGGAATCTGGGAACACAAGAGGGGTGACTGGTTGCCCTTCTGTGAGGGCTCAGTGAAGAGTGAGTGGGAGCCAGGAACTTTAAGCTCCAAGGCTAGAGAGCAGGGCGCCGCCATATTCATCCTACCCAGGGAGCAAAACAGCGCCACCTAGTGGAGACTAGCGCTGCTTACAGGAAGCCCCGCCCCCCCTGCACCCTGCAGGTGCATTCCCACTAGAGCCTTCCATCTGAGAATAGCACAACAAGCCCCTCCCCCAGAAGGCCAGCACAAACATCTTGCAGGTAGCAAGTCTACTGATCATAGAGTACTGCAAAGCTTAATTAAGCTCTAAGGAAAATAGAATTTAGCTTCCTTTTTATTTTTTTTTTATTTTTTTCTCTTATTTTTCAATTCTTTTTTATTATCTTTTTAAATTTTTATGTATATATTTTATATATAGATTTTTTTTTTAGGTCTAGCTTCTTTTAACAAGTAGACCAAAACACACATAGGATCCAGTTGTGTTTTTCTTTTTTTCTGCACAAAATGATAAGATGGAGGAATTCACCCCAAAAGAAAGAACAGGAAGAGAACTGATGGCCAGTGATTTTTTTCCTCAAATTTTAATTTAAATTCTAGTTAGTTAACATACAGTGAAATACTGGTTTCAGGAGTAGAATTCAGTGATTCATTACTTACATATAACACCCAGTGCTCAATATGACAAGAGCCCTCCTTAATGCCCATCCCCCATTTAGCCCATCCCCCACCCACATCCCTCCATCAACCCTCAGTTTGTGCTCTATCTTTAAACATCTCTTACAGTTTGTTTCCCTCTCTCTTTTTTTCCTTCCCCCTCCCATATGCTCACCTGTATTGTTTCTTAAATTCCACATATGAGTGAAATCATATGGTATTTGTCTTTCTCTGACTTTTTTCACTTTGTGTAATACATTCTAACTCCATCCACGTCATGGCGAATGGCAAGACTTCATTCTTTTTGACAGATGAGTAATATTCCTTCGTGTATATATACCACATCTTCTTTATCCATTCATCAGTCAATGGATATTTTGGGCTCTTCCCATAGTTTGGCTATTGTTGATAATACGGCCAGGGATTTAATCAATACAGATATAAGTAAGATGTCTAACTATAATTTAAAACAACAATTATAAGGATACTAGTTGGGCTTGAAAAAAGCATAGAAAACTCTAGAGAATCCCTTACTGCAGAGAAAAAAGAACTAAAATCTAGTCAGGATGAAATGTAAAATGCTATAACTGAGAGGCAAACCCAAACGGATGTCATAAAACGAGGATGGATGAAGTAGAGGAACAAATCAGTGATATAGAAGATAAAATTATGGAAAATAAGCTGAAAAGAAAATGGATCACCAAGATAGACTTAAGGAACTTAGAGACTTCTTAAAATGCAAAAACACTCATATCATAGGAGACCCAGAACAATGAAGAGAGAGATAAAGGGGCAGAAGGTTTATGTGAGCAAATTACAGATGAAAACTTCCCTAATCTGGGGAAGGACACAGACATCAAAATCCAAGAAGCACAGAGAACTCCCATCAAATTCAACAAAAGCCGGCCATCACCAAGGCATATCATAATCAAAATCACAAAATACACAGACAAGGAAACAATCCTGAAGGCAGCAAGGGGGGAAAAGTCCTCAACCTGTAAGGGAAGACAGATTAGGTTCGCAGCACATCTGTCCACAGAAACTTGGCAGGCCAGAAAAGAGTGGAAAAAAATATTCAACATGCTGAATGGGAAAAATATGCAGCCAAGATACTCTGCCCAGCAAGGCTCTCATTCAAAATGGAAGGAGAGACAAAGAGTTTCCCAAACAAAAACTAAAGGAATTTGTGACCATTGACCAGCCCTGCAAGAAATATTAAGGGGGACTCTTTGGGGGGAGAAAAGACCAGAGAATGTCACCAGAAACACCAACTCTACAGGTAACACAATGGCAATGAATTCCTATCTTTCAATAATCACTCTGAATGTAAATGGACTAAATACTCCAATCAAAAGCTACAGGGTATCAGAACAGATAAAAAAAAAACAAGATCCATCTATATGCTGCCTATAAGAGACTCATTTTAGACCCGCAGATTAAAAGTGAGGGGATAGAGAATCATCTATCATGCTAATGGATATCAAAAGAAAACCAGAGTAGCCATACTTATATCAGACAAAGTAACTTATTTATTTATTCATTCATTCAATCATTCATTCACTTATTTACTTATTTGAGACAGAGAGAGTGTGTGTGCACAAGCAGGGGGGTGGGGGGCCAGGGGGAGAGGGAAAAGCAGACTCCTCGCTGAGCAGGGAGCCTGACTTGGAGCTCGATCCCAGGACCCTGAGATCATGAACTGAGCCAAAGGCAGATGTTTCACTGACTAAGCCACCCCAGACAAACTAAGTTTTTAAAATGAAGACCATAACAAGAGATGAAGAAGAGCATTATATCATAATTAAGGGGTCTACCCATCAAGATCTAACAATGGTAAATATTTATGCCCCCAACTTAGGAGCACCCAAATATATAAATCAGTTAATAATAAACATAAAGAGGGGCGCCTGCGTGGCTCAGTTGGTTAGGCATCCAACTCTTGATTTCGGTTCAGGTCATGATCTCAGGATCATGAGATTGAGCCCCACGTCAGGCTCCACGCTGAGCCTGCTTAGGATTCTCTCTCTCCCTCTCCCTCTGCCCTTCTCTGCCCCGCTCGTACACACTCTCTTGTAAATAATAATAATAATAATAATAATAAACACAAACTCATTGATAATAACATAAGAGTAGGCAACTTTAACACCCCACTTACAGCAATGGACAGATCATCTAAGCAGAAAAACCACAAGGAAACAATGGCTTTGAATGACACACTAGATCAGATGGACTTAAAAGATATATTCAAAACATTTCATCATAAAGCAGCAGAATACACATTCTTTTCAAGTGCACATGGAACATTCCCCAGAATAGATCACATACTGGGTCACAAATCAGCCTTCAACAAGTACAAAAAGATCGAGATCATACCATGCATATTTTCAGACCACAACACTATGAAACTTGAAGTCAACCACAAGAAAAAATTTGGAAAGACCACAAATACATGGAAGCTAAAGAATATCCCACTGAAGAATGAATGAGTTAACCAGGAAATTAAAGAAATTTAAAAAGTACATAGAAGCAAATGAAAATGAAAACACTACAGTCCAAAACCTTTGGGATGTAGCAAAGGCAGTCCTAAGAGGGAGGTATATTGCAATACAGGTCTACCTCCAGAAGCAAGAATTATTGGCACTTCATCAAGATAAAAAGCTTCTTTCTACACAGTGAAGGAAAAATCAACAAAACTAAAAGCCTACAGAATGGGAGAAGATATTTGCAAACAATATATGGGATAAAAGGTTAGTATCCAAAATCTATGAAGAACTTAGCAAACTTAACACCCAAAAACCAAATAATCCAGTCAAGAAATGGGCAGAAGACATGAACAGACATTTCTCCAAAGAAGACATACAAATGGCCAACAGACACATGAAAAAGTGCTCCACATCACTCAGCATCGGGGAAATAAATCAAAACCACAATGAGATACCACCTCACACCTGTGAGAATGGCTAAAATTAACATAAGAAACAACAGGTGTTAGAGAGGATATGGAGAAAGGGGAACCCTCTTGCACTGTTGGTGGGAATGCAAACTGGTGCAGCCCCTCTGGAAAACAGTATGGAGGTTCCTCAAAAGAGTTAAAAATAGAACTACCCTATGACCCAACAATTGCTCTACTAGGTATTTATCCAAAGGATACAAAAATACAGATTTGAAGGGGTACAAGCACCCCAATGTTTATAGCAGCATTATCAACAATAGCCAAACTATGGAGAGAGCCCAAATGCCCATCAACTGATGAATGGATAAAGAAAATGTACACACACACACACACACACACACACACACACACACACACACAGAGTATTACTCAGTTATCAAAAAGAATGAAATCTTGCCATTCACAATGACGTGGATAGAGCTAGACTGTATTATGCTAGTGAGTAAGTCAGAGAAAGACAAATACCATATGATCTCACTTATATGTGGACTTTAAGAAAGAAAACAGATGAACATATGGGAAGGGGAGTAAGGGAAAGAGGAAAATAAACCATAAGAGATTCTTAACAATAGAGAACAAACTGAAGGTTGATGGAGGGAGGTGGGTAGGGGGATGGGATAGATGGATGAAGGGTATTAAGGAGGTCACTTTTTATGATGAGCACTGGGTGTTGTATGTAAGTGATAAATCCCTGAATATAGCACTGTAAACTAAGTAAAATTTAAATTAAAAAAAAGAAGAAGAAAAATCTCAAATACACAACCTAACCCTACACCTAAAGGAGCTAGAAAAGGAACAGCAAATAAAGCCTATAACCAGCAGAAGAAGAGAAATAATAAAGATCAGAGCAGAAATAAATGATTTTAGAAACAAACAGCAGATCAATGAAACTAAGAGCTGGTTTTTGAAAGAATTAATAAAACTAAAAACTGCCCCCCCAGCCAGATTTATCAAAAAGAAAGAGAAAGGCCCCAAATAAACAAAATCATAAATGAAAGAGGAGAGATCACAACCAACACCACAGAAATACAAATAATCCTAAGAGAATATTATGAAAAATTATATGCCAAAAAAACTGGGCAATCTGAAAGAAACGAACAAATCCCTAGACACCTACAAACTACCAAAACCGAAACAGGAAGAAATAGAAAATTTAAACAGACTCGGGGTGCCTGGGTGCCTCAGTCGTTAAGCATCTGCGTTCGGCTTGGGTCATAATCCCAGGGTCCTGGGATCGAGCCCCGCATCAGGCTTCCTGCTCTGCAGGAAGCCTGCTTCTCCCTCTCCCATTCCCCCTGCTTGTGTTCCCTCTCTCACTGTGTCTCTCTCTGTCAAATAGATAAACAAAATCTTTAAAAAAAAAAAAAGAAAAGAAAATTTAATCAGACTCATAACCAGCAAAGAATTGAATCAATAATCAAAAATCTCCCAACAAACAAAAATCCAGGGCCAGATGGCTTCCCAGGGGAATTCTACCAAACATTTAAAGAAGAATTAATACCTGTTCTTCTCAAATTGTTCCAAAAAATAGAAATGGAAGGAAAACTTCCAAACTCATTCTATGAGGCCAGCATTACCTTGATTCTAAAATCAAAGACCCTACCAAAAAAGGAGAATTACAGTCCAATATCCCTGATGAACATGGATGCAAAAATTCTCTACAAGACACTAGCAAATCAGATCCAACAGCACATTAAAAGGATTATTCACCACAATCAAGTGGGATTTATTCCTGGGCTGCAGGGCTGGTTCTATATAGGCAAATCATTCAACATGATCACCACATTAATAAAGGATAAGAACCATATGATACTCTCAATAGATGCAGAGAGAGCATTTGACAAAATACAGCATCAATTCTTGATAAAAAAAAAAAAACACCTCAACAAAATAGGGATAGATAGAACATACCTCAACATCATAAAGGTCATAAACAAAAGACCCACAGCTAAATCATCCTCAGTGGGGAAAACTGAGAGCTTTTCCTCTATAATCAGGAATAAGACAAGGATGTTCACTCTCACCACTGCTATTTAACACAGTACTGGAAGTCTTAGCCTCAGCAATCAGACAACGAAAAGAAATAAAAGGCATCAAATCATCAAGGATTTGGATACAACATGATACTCTATATAGAAAACCCAAAAGACTTCACCAAAAAAAAATGCTAGAACTAATACATGAATTCAGCAAAGTCACAGGATATGAAATCAACATACAGAAATCATTGCATTTCTATACACCAATATCGAAGCAACAGAAAAAGAAATCAAGGAACTGATCCCATTTACAATTACACCAAAAACCATAAGATACCTAGGAATAAACCTAACCAAAAAGGTAAACGATCTGTACTCTGAAAACCATAGCACACTTATGAAAGAAACTGAGGAAGACACAAAGAAATGGGAAAGCATTGCATACTCATGGATTGGAAGAACAAATAAAATGTCTATGCTACCCAAAGCAATCTACACATTTAATGCAATCCCTATCAAAATACCACCAGCATTTTTTACAGAACTAGAACAGACAATGGGAAACAAACCACTAAGAGACTCTTCAAGACAGAGAACACACTGAGGGCTGCTGGAGGGAGGAGGGTGGGGGATGGGCTACATGGGGGGGTGGGTATTAAGGAAGGCTCTTGTGATGAGCACTGGGTGTTGTGTGTAAGTGATGAATCACTGAATTCTACTCCTGAAACCAACGTTGCACTGTATGTTCACTAACTAGAATTTAAATAAAAATCTGAAGAAATAAAAACAATGGGGACTTGAGCACACAAAAGGCTGCTATGAGACTAAATGGTGATAATTTAAAAGGACCCATATTACTGAGGTTTTCCAGTTTAGGCTTATTGGCAGTAAGTTTCAAGTGAAGGTTTTATAACTTTGTGAGTTCTGTTTATTGCAATACTTCTTCCATTTGTCCTATTTAAGAGGGAAGAGTAGAGTCGGGGGGGTCACATTCAAAATGGGAAAATGTTACCAAGATCAGGTGGCCCAAGTGTCTGAGCCCAGTCGTCCCGGGGAGTCTTCCCCGCCCGCTCCTCTCTTGGTCCCACACACTTGAGAGAAGAGAAGCGCGGCCCCCTCGCCAGGCTCCCTCCAGGCTTGTAGCTCACTCCTGCTGGTGGCCTGCTATCATCCCCGGGCTCTCCTTCCGGAAGAACCACCCACCTTCCTCCTCCTCCTACAGCCCAGAGTATCAGTGTGTGTTGGGGACTCTGGGTCACAGAGAGGTGACATTTTCTTGTGAGCATACTTTCCCCACATTTAAGAAGGAAAAGGTGATTCCTATGTCTCCAGGATTTATTTCTGAAACTCTGTTTCAATTTACGCATGTCACAGTTAATAAGTGTGATGCTAAGCAATTCAGGAGTGCAGCTCAGTTGAACAAAGCCCTACCCTCTGCCCCTCCTTCCCCTACAACCCCGGTGTGGGCTGGGCCCTCCCCTCACCACTCCAGCTTGCATCCTTTCTCTTCTACCCAGGAAACAAAGCTATTTCACAAGTTGTAAATATACGCTAATTTTAATGGCTTACTAGCAAACATCATGTGTTTGATGTTTCAGATTGTTGTTAGCTTAGTTTTTCTTGTTGAATTATATACATGTGCTGTGCTCAACTTAAACATTAGAAATATCAAGGTTATTAATCTGCTTTTTTAACTTTTCAAAGAAACAACACAGCCTTTTAAGCATTTAGAATTTTTCTTTTAATTAATGCATTTATGCTGCTGTTCTTTTAACAACTAATTTAAACTTCAAACATTTTTTTGTCTTCTCGTGCACAGGTGCTGCTTTCATGTTCACATGTGTTTCACAGAGTGAGTGACTACTTCTTCCCCCCCCCCCGCCCAAAGTGTGCAGCGCATCAGCCTCATAGCTCTTACTCATTTAAAGTCTCCTAAGAAGAACCACTTATTTTATCCATAATCACCACTTAGTTAGAAATCTGACTTGAGGCTACGGTACAATTCATCCTGTTTTGAAGATCACGAATTTTATGTGACAAAAGAACCACAACTGTTTGTATAACACAGTGCTGTTAGTAATGTTCATCAAAGTGAGTGACAGCTGGCTTCCTATGATTTGACTGCATGGCAGCCTTCTACACTGGGATCATCTACCTTGACACAAGTGGTTTTCACAAGTTTTTGATGTATCTGCCTGTACGTTCTTGTAAAATTTCATTTTTGGAACAAGTTTCATGAGGAAGGTGTTAACATCTGATGAAACTTCTTCCCTTTATAATCTAAATTGGACTGTCTCATAATGATGAGAGAAAAGAATACTATAATTACATTAGAAGTAAAAATGTTATTTATAAGTAATTGCTTATAAAATTTTAAGTGAAATGTTTTTCTTCAGGCATGCCTCCAGGCTTTTGAGAAGTTCACAAATAAAAAAACCTGCCCTCTCTGCAGAAAGAACCAGTATCAAACCAGAGTGATTCACGACGGAGCCCGGCTATTCAAAATAAAGTGTGCAACAAGGTAGGAAGTGTCCCCCTTGCCCGCAGACACTCTGCGGCAGTGCCAGCTGATGACTCATTTTAAAGGAAGGAGGGATTTTGCCTCCCTCCTTGGCCACCGCCTCCCCAGGGTCTTACCCTGTCTTGAAATACCTGTTAAGGCCATTCTGAGTGAGTCATTTCAAACATGTGTGTTCCAGGGTCCAAGCCTGCTGGAGGGCACACGTGGTCAGAAAGTGGTACCAAGACCTGAGGAGAAAGGTTCCTCCCACAGATGCCAAGTTGAGGCGAAAATTCTTTGAAGAAAAGGTAGGTCAAGATCCTTGATTCTCTAATAGTATGTGCCCACCAGTGATTCACTGGGCTCAGGGAGGCCTGCAAAGTCAGTGAAGCCCAAAGACCCCCCCCTCATCTGTAGGCTTTTTACAAATGTTTGGGATGCTGCTAAAAACCCCATTCAACATAAACTGGCTTTCCAGCCCAGGTGGTAAAATACTTCTAGATTTTCTTTTCTAATTAAATCATAAAATTCATAAAATTGGAAGAAGGTTAAATTCAAAACAACTTTGGTTTGGCCATTTCGTGACACTTGCTTAAATAATCTCGTCAGATAAAGGAATGGATAAAGCTTAAGTTTTTCACATCCCCTGAACTGCATGTTAAAAAAATTTTCATTTAAAAATAAAGCTCCCACTGTGCTACAGTTTTACCTGAGTGTCTCTTTGGGGCCTCACGGGGTCACCAAAATGTGAGTTTCAGAAATAAATAACCTCGGTTTCTACCCTCTCTTTCAACCATTTTCTAGCTTTTATGTTTACTTTTTGGCTTACCAGTTTTCCATCATTGTACCCCACACGAGAAGGACGGGTGCAGTGCAGTGAGGGAGCCAGCTGAGCCAGGGCTCCAGCCTCAGTCCTGCCCGCATTAGCTGGTGGCTCCAGGCAGGCCTCCGTCTCCTCATCTGTGATAGGACAGTAATGACCTTGACCCTGCAGCGCTGCTCTAAGAACAGTGTGCAGTAGGCCTGTGAGGTGCACAACCATCGTCAGTATGTTGTCCGAGTTCACCTTTATGGTAAGTGCTTCAGATTTCATCGTAGTCCGTACTGTTTTGGACAGCACTGGATGAGAGTGTGGTGTTCTGACGTCATGGTAGCTTTAAATCACGAAGATAAAACTCACAGTCGCACTTCCCTGTAATCACTATTTATGGAAGTATCCCTTACCCGTTTATTTAGATCTTCCCTACACTTACTTGTTTTGTGAACCTGCACACTCCCGTTTGGAATAAGGATAGAAGATGACCCTTTACTGTATAAAGAGATCCCTTTCCTCCCCCTAACTGTTCTGTCCTTCAGCATGTGAAGCCTAAGAGACCTCAGTCCTGCGCTCTGGGGGAAGAGGCTGCTGTTCACCATATGCTCCGTGGTTTTGATCAGACTCCCAGGCTGACCTTCTCAGGCCGAGGTGCCGTCTCCCTGTGTGCGTCTTGTAACCTCACCACCCTTGTCTGTGCCCTGGGTGAAGGGCTCCTTGAGAGCGCCCAGGACTGCACAGGGATCCTGAAACTAAGTGCATTTAGGCTCGACTCTCAAACAGGATGAAGCCAGAGTTTCCCAGGGCCCTTCCTGATCACTCGAGTAGTTGGTCCAAGCAATGTAGTCATCAGTGTGTGCAAGAAAAAATCAGGATATTGGCTGGTTGTGATGTCATTAAATCTCAGATTTAATTAAGAAAATACACTTATCTGCCCTCAAGAGTAGAACAACGTTCAATGCAATATATGAATAAATAACCCTAAAATCCTGTATATCTTGAAGACAAGAAGACTGAACCACTGGTAGAGAGATGAGCCTGTACGGCAAGGGCAGCCTGAGCGCTGGGTGGAGAAGCCATGAGCGCTGCCCTGCCCTGCACCGGGAGGGGTCCGCCCCAGCTGACACAGGTGCGGGGTGGCTCCAGGAGATGGGCAGCACCTGCAGCAGCACCTGCTGGTCGCTGAAGTAGAGGCAGGCGGGGGGAGAGCAGAGGCTATGGAGAGAGAATCTGCCATTCTACATGTGAATAAGAAAAACTGTATTTTCTGAGTCATTCATGCACCGTATGGCATGAATTGGGGAGCAAAGGATACTTAAGGAAAGGGGACAGAGTCCCAGTGAAAGCTCCCCTTCCCATTTCTGCTTGTGGGGTGGACATGAGAAAAGCTTTGCAGTGTTCAGCACCATCCATTTGACAGAAGCAACAGCAAATCAGCTAAAAGTCTTGAGAACTTACTGGATAAAAAGAATGTGTGCCACCTTCATCTCTCTTGGACAGTGAGCCTTTGCTCTAACTACTTAGAGAGCGGTGTGCTGACCTCCCGTCTCCATCTCCACTCCTCTGACCTCTGTATCTGGTTTTAAAAAGTCCTTGTCTATAGACCAAGATAATGGATTCAACCTAACTTGGAGCCTTCAATGCCACTCCCCTCGGTAAACCTGTCTTTTGGGCAGTTTATCAGTGTTCCTCAGCAGCGTCTTCCTTCTCCATCAGAGACTGGCAGTGTCTTTAGGGGCCACTCACGTTCAAGTCAGTGAGCGACTGTGTCCGCGGGGAGTTTCCATCCTTCTCATACGGTCTCCTCGCGCCCTCCTCATTCTGCGGTCTGATAGTCATTGTAATACATCGTTACTCTTGGTGATTCTACTGGAATACTGTCTTGGCTTTCAAATCAGAACTTACTGATTTTTTGCCTCTTACAAAATTTTAATTACAGATGACAGTCATTTTACCTTATGTGTATATTTTTTCATTTGCATACATTATCTTATAATTTTTGAAAATATAGGCTACGCTCTGCTTTCACATAAAGCAGAGTTGTGAGACTCGACTGATTATATATCTATAGAAAAACACAAACACAAACACACAAACGTGCAAACACACACTTGGCAAAGATACACACTGTAATTCAGATCATTCTTCCCCAAAAGTATTGATTTAGTGTTATACTCAATTTGTCGCACAAATAGGCATTTTATAATTGCTTCAGCTAGCTATTGTTTTAATTACCTCTATAATGCTCAGCTCTCTCTGCTCGTTTTCTAAATGTTCTCTGCAATTTCTTCGTTCCTCACTCTACTCACTTACCCATTTGGCCAGAAACACTGAAATCTATAAACCTAAACCTCATTTTATTTTATTTAATCCGGTTAGTTAACCTACAGTGTAAGACTATCACATTAGAGTTGAGTGACTCAGCACTTCATACCCCGGCCGGTGCTCGCGCCAACCAGTGCCCTCCTTCACCCGACCGCCGGGGGCGCGCT